TTGCGACAGGATAAATGTAAGTTGTTCACGAAGTCATGCAACTCTCTGGGGTTTGTGATCGATCAGGACGGCCGAAGACCGGATCCAGAAAATATCAAGGTGATAGACCGTCTGTCTGCGCCAACGGATCTTGGAACACTGAGATCGTTCCTGGGAATGTTGAGTCACTACAGTGAGTTTTCGCTCCACATGCACCGTCTACGTTAACCCTTGAATGAGTTACTAGCAAAGGATGTTGAATGGAAATGGTCCGGATAATGTCAGCAAGCATTTGGAAGGTTGAAATGACTTCTGAAATCCGACCTCCTACTAACACATAACCCGATGCTCGAAATCGTCGTGGCAACAGATGCTACTTATGGGATTGGAGCAGTCATCTCACACCGGTTCCCGAACGGTTCTGAAGAACTGGTAGCACGCGCTGCAAAATCCCTAACAACATCCGAAAAAACTACAGTCAAACAGAAAAAAGTGGCATTGGCTATCGTGTTTGCTGTTCACTAGTTTCACAAAATCCTATACGGACGACGCTTCAAACTTGTGACAGAGCAGGAACCGCTACTTGCCATCTTTGGTTCGTAAAAAGGTATTCCAGCTTATACAGACAGTCAACTTCAAAGATGGGCAACTTTACTTTTTGGCTATGACTTTAACATGATATACTTGCCAACCAACGCTATCGGACAGGCAGACGCTCTATCAAGACTCAACAATAACACCAAGCGGAACCAGAAAATTTGTGCAGCCTTTTCAAATAGCTCCCCGTCAGAAAAGCTACACAAGCCTCAGGTAACCAATTTTTATGAAGAGGGGGCTGTTAGGGAGACACTACTGAACATATATGTTGGAAATCATGCTTACTTACCGATTTGTTTCTTTCAGCTATCGCTGCTAGTAACTTATGTGCAAACACATCATTCCGCTAATTTTATTGACTGCTTGTAGTCACTGTTTTCGCTCTTGATCGCAATGCCACTTGACTGCCAACACTATCTTTCCGTTTGTGCGTGTCACTTATTGGTTTCTTTGTTGAGCACTCTTCATTGGCTTCATATTGCTCGTGTGCTTTTAGCAATATGGTTGGCTGAAATGTCTTTCAGTAGCGTCTCTTCAGATCATTCTTAAAACTCTGTGAACAGACATGATTCAATGCATACAATTCTTTCCCGGCACGTCTTTGGAGTTAGTTTTGCAGTCGTGGAGTGAAGGTGTCAGTTGCAACACAACAAGTTTGATCACGGTTAACCTGGGGGCTGAAGTAACGGCTTCTGAGAGGATATTCCATGTGTGGCAGACATGCAGCGAGAACATTCTTTGACACTTCAACTGGCTGTATCATTCTGCCACTTTGAAATGACGACCTCTCAGTCTGCTTTTTTGACTCAGCTTCATCAGCTGCTGACACGGGGGACTGAGGATTTTTGGCAGTTGGTGAACTTTGATTAGATTACTACTCAAACGCCGATAGCGTCTACCGCCTAGCACTCTGAGGCGCTATTCTTGTAACAAGTGGCGCAGCACCTTGACCATTTTGGTCATTTGACGTTACGGAATCCCCAAGGCAAGGAGATCCCGCTTTAACCATGAATGTCATACTTGATCTACATATTCCACATGTGCGCATGTGTAAGCGGGACGTAGTTGGTGGGAAATAATGCTGATTGGTGGAACATGGTTAGAAGTATCCGAAAGCTCTCCGTAGAAGTCAAACGATTTGGATCTCCTTCTTCGATATTGTTTAGACTGCTCCGAGCAACAGAGATCTTCTTGGACCAGCTCACTGAGGTCTTTTTATGAGAGTAGTGTTGCAGATCCTGGTCCCTCACATTGTAAGTGTGAATCATTCGGTCTCGTTACTGGAACGCTCCCCATTTAACGGCACCGAATAAAACGTGCTTTTGGACCGATCATCCACTGACCTTGTCAACTTCGTTTAAAAACTGTGTACCGTCAGCTGGAGCTCGGATGGCTCGCAAAAATTGGATGTCATCGTCATAAAGCAAAACGTCTGGAGTGCTTTGGTTCACAAGATTGTTGATGAAAACCGAGACTAGACGAAGCCGAAATACCGAATGCTTTACACACCGCATTCGACATGAATCGGATCTGATATGGTTTCAGGTACTCTCACCTACAGATGCCTGTGGGTGGCGAATTTCCCCAATGTCAAATCCTTAAAGTTTGGCAATAGGGAGACGATGGTCCTACTGAGCGAATGCCTTAGATAAGTCAAGGTAAGCCACATCAACTCCTAAACCAACATCCACGGTTTCAATCCAGCTATTTCATGTTAACAATAGGTTGGGGTTACACGACCGTTCCTGGCGGAATCCGTGTTGCTACTGAGCAATGTGACCAAAATCCTCCGGGTAAGGCATGTGGGCGTTGGTAATGATAATTTTCACAACTTATGCAAGAACTGCTAGAAGAGTCACTGGTCGATAACTGGCTGGGTTGGATCGACTATCCCCGTTTGTAACTTAAGGTTATTATCCTTTGTTTCTTCATTGCAGGAACGCGCCTTTCGTCAAGACAGTGCTGGAACAACTGCGTCAAGGACTTAGTCAAAACATTATCCGCCACGACAGGCGTCTTTGGGCGGATGTCTCCAACTTCGTCAATGAACAATGAATTTATACGGGTTAAGAAGTGTTGCTTTACAAGCGTACAGGCGCATGGATTGCAGCTTTTTCAACCCACTGTCCGCCCTGAGACGCATGTGAGTGCGTTTTGGTGCAAATACCATAGATTCCAAAGGTTCAGGAGACCACTGGACGCAATGCATGTTATTGTTGCAAAACCGACGCTTTTTTGGCAGTCCTAGTTAGACCATCTCCTGTTTGAATAGGGGACGTTCACTTTAAAATTCGTGAAGGCTGTCCACCTGCTTGTACAGAAGTTTATGATTTTAAGTACATCGCTTGCTAAAGCCTGCTGTCATGCTGCTTTGTCCTCACGTACTAGATGGGTAGAGTGGCTACGGTGAACGACATAATCCTTCTAAGTACTCGGGCTCTGATCGCTTTTGTGTGTATACCATGCCGCGTCACACATCACCATGCTTTCGCGTGTCCTATTCCGCATAGACGATGCCATGTTCTCGATGCCCTACTAACCAAGGTGATAAACTTACTGACGGAACATTTGTTGTAAGAATGACAGCTGAACTTAAGTGTGTCGTCAAAAAACCAAATAAAACGCTACTTGATCGGATGCGAGCTCGTGTTTAAAAGAAACAGAATATCATAACCGAACTTTACGAACTGCCTTACGAACTGCATGGGATGATGATATCCGCTCCACTGTTCGCTGCTCACCTGATCTAATTGACCCCGCGGTTACCGACGACTACGTGCCAACACAACCGTTTCGCAGTATCAACGTCATATCCAGGTGGCTGGTAATATCACAAGCAATGGTATCCACGAAAGTAGTGCTTACTCCGACATTGTCCAAGGATCAACTTAGATACAATTCAAGTTTTCAGTCTGTCGTCGACACATGGCACCAACATAAACTACAAGGTTAGTAGCAGCACCACAGAGAATTCAACATAGAAGCTGATGAGTAACGAAAGAATTCGTAGCTGGGGTGACAGGAGATGCAGTTCCTGCAACGCTAGAAAAACCACTTCGACCAAATTAAGTAAGTTAGCACATTCATAACGCTTAAAATTCTCGATACTGTCTCAGTGGAAGTGTTAAAAACACTGAATAAACACTCTAAGTAGTACTGAAGTTTATTATCCGCCATCAAGCTAACACAAGAACGAACCGATTGTATAGGTCTTTTAAAATGATTTCTTTCAAGTCCGTCTGTGGTAAATACATTGCATAAGCAGTGAATGCAAATCCGCCGACTGACACCGTAGAAGGATCTAATATCTAGATAGCCTTTCTCTTATACTTCAAAGGGGTAAACCAGTATAGATGTTTGGTGCCACTCCACCCGTCACAAGTCCAAAAATAAAGTCTACAAGTGGCGTCGCAAACGATGTACAAAGTCTTAATCCCATTAGTAGCAAGGTCGGTATTTTGCGTTTATCGCCGGCCGCACGGCCGCCAACCTCAATGAATCAACAGGCCTTGCAGCTTTTCCAACGGATCATCGAATTTGCCCAATCATGCCTGTGTATTCCGACTGTGCTCACTCATCTTCCCCAGATTGGATGGTACCCTTTATCCAAAGATATGCGAACAGTCAGTTAATCTACCTACACATGTATACGTTAGATTATTTCTCGCAAATGCTCGGTTTCCCAGAACATAATGTACATCCTAGGTCTTTTACTTTTGCTCTCATGTTCCAGTTGTGTGCGTAGCACGGAGAGTTTGGAAAGTGAAAATACTAATGAATCCGACTTTTACATCCTTAACACACAAGGTTTTAGCAATATTTGCAGATCCAGCCGCGGTGGCGCTGTCGCATACATAACCATCACACAACTGTGTTTGACTATTTCTAAATGATGGTGATGGCTCCGTTCGGGTTATTATTGGACTAAAGTGTAAGAGAATCCTTATTGATTGTGTGTACAACACATCACGCTGCCCTAAAGCAGAGATGGGTCATCTCACAGAAGTCTTCGCATACACCCCCTGAACAGCCTGAATGTCCAAGGTATCTTGCTGTCTTCCATGCTTCCCACTCAAATATACGCATTAGCTATCAATGATCCCAGCATTTGATTGGATTCAATAAACTTTATCTCCAGCAAGAGGCGAAAACTTCCGGATGACAGGGCATTTAAATCGCCCGTTTATCTTACCGCCGAACATTATGTTTACTCACTATACTGCAGACGTATCAGTTTTGCAAGAACAATCTGCCGAATTCCTTAATCAGACAGTTTCCAAGCTCAGGTCCTTAGAAAGTTACTTTTTGGGGGAAAGAACGGGGGGGGGGGCGGGGGCTCCGGGTGGGGGGCTTATACCCTCGACTGGGCTTGCTTTAGCTCTGAACAAAACTGCTGAGGGATAATACCTCCTGCTTCCTTTCAGGGGGGGGGGGGGGGGGGAAGTATCCGGTGTGGCTTCTGGGGGGGTGGTGCTTCTGTGGGGGGGGGGGGGGGGGGGGGGGGGGGGGGGGGGGGGGGGGGGGGGGGGGGGGGGGGGGGGGGGTACAATTGGGGGGGAGGGGGGGGGGGGGGGGGGGTATAAACCCTACGGTGCCTACACTGCTTCTTAACTAGTGCTAACCCAACTGCTGGGGGGGGGGGGGGCGTCGTGCCTTCCTCGGGGGGGGGGGGGGGGGGGGGGCGGGGGGGGGGGGGGGGGGGGGGGGGGGGGGGGGGGTGGGGGTCTCTCTCTCATTAGCAATTAAATGTATTAAGTTATAACACTCTGCGGAGAACGTAACCCTACAAAAACTGCTAAACATCGATATACCTTGACAAAAGCGTGCTATCACCATTAGCATTAAGGTGGGGCTTAGTACCAAGCGCGCACGCCAGGTGAAACCCGCAGGCACACCCGCCCCCCGAGGTGTTTGCCTAGGACCTACCGAAAGAGGGGGGGGGGCGCGGGCAACAACATAGTGGACAAGATGTCCCAACATTAGCATTTACCGGATTTTTCCCCGCCAACGCACACAAAGACCATCAACAAAAGAAACGCGACTGCGCATTTCTCTAGGCTGTGAGGAATTCGGTTACGGACACTTTTGGGTAGAAAAACGCCATCAAATAATAACTTTTAAAATAAAATTTTATAAATAATAGTTATTGGGGGGGAGGAGGGGGGTTTTAATAATAATTAAAATTTAATAAAATTTGAGTAGATTATATAAATTTTTTTTTATATATATTTTTTTTTTAAAATAAATAAATATTATGATTAATTATATATTAGTTTATTATTATATTTTATAATTATTATTTATTATGAACGGGGTTTTAATAAAATAAATATAACAAACCGAAGCACCAAAATGCATCGCTGAGTTTGTTGGGCGCGAATAGCGATATGGATAGAGGACCAAAAGGCGGACCCATTTAGGGTGGCCGTAGCGGAGCGGACTACTAGGCGTCCGAGGGGCCCGAGCGACTTGAAACCAAATAACAACCCATATAAGTTGCCGGAGCGTGCGACTTTTGATCGAAAGGCTTATGTAGTATGGCCAGCCAACCAGGTTCAACGGGTAGAACACTTTGTACAGACCGGCGCCCAACACAACAATATAACTTCCGGCTACTTTTTAAGTGAAAATCAAACACAAAAACGACATCCAGAAAAAACAGGCGCGCGAGAACAACACATCTTCAAAATACAAAAGCATATCAATCCAAACAGGCTTACCATTCATCAGCTACAATCAACAATTCAAATCACAACACATCAACATACACCGCTACAACCAAAACCAAAGCAAGCTTACACAACATCCCAACACAAGACCAATACAACATACATCATCAATCAAATCCATCCGCGGAGGAGATCCCAAAAAACAGCTTCATCACTTCCCACATCTCACCAACGGGGGGGGGGGGGGGGGGGGGCGACATAGATTCATTCCAACCTCACACATCTACTACGCGAGGTCAAGCTAAATCTACAACCCCTCAAAACACATCCCTCACCATCAATCAAAACAGAACAAGCGGGGAGGGGGGGGGAGGGGGGGGGGGCAGGCAGCACCATTAAATCTGCAACAATACGAACAACAACTTCATTCAACTTTCAATCACAAAACAAGCATATCACAACTTCATCGGAGGGGGGGGGGGGGGCGGGGGGGGAGGGGGCGGGAGGGGGGGGGGGGGTCAACCAACACATCAGCTTCACAGACAGCTGTCAAACAAACCTTTCGGGATTTCACAACGCAAGCTTCAATCAATCCATCATTCAAAGAAGCTTCCAACAACACAGCTTCACACACCAAGCTACATTCAAACAAAGCTTCAAAATTCACAGGTCACCACCCCACACACTCATCAATCATCTCCCCATCACACAGTCCCAAACTTCAACTTCCACATCAGGCGCGGAGCGCCAACCAATTCAGGCTTCCTCAAAAATACTCCAATCAAAATTCATCACTTTCCGCGGGAGCATCATCAATCAAGGTCTTCCAATCCATAACAAGAAATCTTCATCAACACAAACTCTCACAGGGCGCCCAAACCCCGCAATCCCCAACACAACCCGCATTCCAACCTAACCCAGCATCCACCTGCCTAAAACGGGAACAAACACATCACACATCTTCACACCAATCATCACAACAAACTTAAATCAACCATTCTTTCAAAAAGCTTTCCACAATCATTCAAAAACAAAAACAGGCTTCATGGGGGGGGGGGAACGAGCTTTCCATCATTCCAACAAAAATAGCTTCACACTTTCAAACACCCTCTCCTGGGAAGCTTCCAAAGCTTTCAAGCTTCAACACACAAACAAAAAAAATCACGAAAACCAACAATCAACGATCCTCAAACAATCATCCCGTCACATTGAGCAGACCAACAAAAAGAAAGAAAAAGCTTCACACAAAGCAACGATTCAAAGTTCATCAACTTCAAGCCCGACCAGTTCTCCTCACATCAGGGGGGGGGGGGGGGGACTTGATCAATCAGCTTTATCACACCCCAACAGTAAACATAGCGAGGGATCAGGTAATACACTGATCTATTCATTCATATGGTGGTCAGGACTTTCGTCAGCGTTGGCGACTGTCATCATCATGAGCACAACAGCAGCAAGGATCAGCACACAACCACGCATCATCGTCAAACATCCCATCAGGCAGGTTCACCAAAATCAAAATCAACGACAACAATTCAACAGACAACAACAGCTTCAACCAAATCTATCCACCAAATCACCAAACACATCCCAAAAAATCACAAATCACACTTTCATATTCACATCATCAAACAACAAGACACAATCTTCAAGAGCGGGGGGGGGGAGGGCGGGGAACCAAAATCACATTGCCATCGGATCATCACCAAATCATCAAGTTCAAACAGCGGGAGGGAGGGGCACTGCGGAGGGATTCATCATCACAAAACAAAACAACCTTCACAACCATCATCACATCCAACAACAACAAGCTCCTTCCATTCAAACACAATCAGCACCATCAATCAACAAATCAAACATCAATTCACAATCACACGGGGGAAATGGGGGGGGGGGGGGATCACAAAACATTCAAAAACCCCACCGCATCAATCCCATGCGCGCGGGAGGGGAGAGCAAAAAATCACCATCATTCATCGACAATCACACAACAGCACAGCCATCATCAACAACATGTTCTCCACCCCATCAACCACACAATTCATCAACACACTTCACATCGAGAGCTTCAAAGCATCAATAAAGATTCAACGATCAAAGAGCTGTCAAATCTTCAAATCACAAAAAAACGCTTCTTCACTTCACTACAAAAATGTTTTCCTTTCCAATACCAAACACAACACAACAAGCTTGTAAACACATCACACCACATCAACCATCATCAATTCATCCAATAAAGTCTATCCTAACAACACTCTCATCAACACAAGAACAAACAAACAAACAAACCAGCTTTTTCACACAACACATACAAAAGCTGTCAGCCCACATTTTCACCAAACAATCATCACCATCATACACAAACCAAACAAATTCACACAACAACAATCAACATTCATTGGCATCATCATCACACTCAATCAACATCCCACCACTTCACATCAACTTCATACATCCAACAATCCAGCATTTCAAAAACAGTCATTCCCAATACAATCAAAATCAACACATTCAATTCATCACAAAAAAAAGCTTCAAACACCAAAGGCAAATCAAAAAGCTTACCTCCACACAAGCATCCAATCAAAAACATCACACTACATAAGCTTCCAACATTTTAAAATCAACCGGCGGGGGGGTGGTGGGGGGGGAAAGAACAAGCTACCCAAAACATATGAGACCACAGCTTCACATCACACAACAAGCTAAATTCACACCTCCACACAAAGCTACAAAACAGCTACTAATCCACAAACAACCCAACACAATCAGCGTGGCGGGGGGGATCAACCAATCAACACCAAATAGCATCTCCAAAAAGAGCTAACCACGACAGCATTCCAACCAACACACACAAAATCACCAAACGGGGGGCACACAAATCACACACTTCCACATCACACAGACAACAGCATCAACACAACCGATCTTTCAAATTCACACACACACAACATCCACCCACACACACCCCACTTCACCGGGGGGGGGGGCGGAGCACCACACACAGTACACACATCGCTTCACACAAACACACATCATCAACACAATCCAACATTCACACCCGAGGTACTTCAGAACAATGCGCAACAACACCATCTTGGTCGGTGCACGAAGCTGCGGTCCCGTCACCGGAAAGCGCAGATGAGAAAATATTGGCTATGCTGTCGTCACCAACCTGAAAACGGAAACTGATCGCTGAGTGAGCACATGCACGCACGAAGTCCTTGCATATGCGAGTGATCCTCTTCGAAAAGCACAGAAATCGGCGTCAAGCAGGTTCTGGGTGGTGGAGGGGGGCGGGGGTGAGCATTTCGTTCGGGCAAGATGCTCTGGTGCTTGCCTGTTAGACCGATCGGAAATGCAATTGCGGGGGGGGGGGGGGGGGGGGGTGGGGGGGGGGGGGGGAGGGAGATTGTTGTGGCATGCTGCGCATGTGCCAAACTGAAGTAGGTGTATCGAGGGCTCCCAAAAAACGGAAAGCCCCACTGAACTGGGGGTGGACCACTAGTTTTGGAAGTTTTGACGTTAAATGTGGGCTTGTGTCGATACAGAAACAGAAAGGAGAGGGCGGCGTTCCGATCCGGGCCGCCGCCTCCCCCGCGCCGCGGGGCGCGCGCCGATTCTCCGGGGGGGCCGCGTCCCGTTCCTGCGTTTTTTTTTAGGCATGTGAGTACACAAAAATAACCTAGAAGATTAAAGATGGGCTTTGCGGGCGGGGCGAGGGGATGCATGTTGGGAGAGGGCCACAAGAATTCCGGGGTGCGGGGTCCGGCTTCTGGTTCCGTGCATTCGGTCGGCGGGTCGAATCGGTTTTTTGTCCGGCGACGGGGACGCGGCGCGGGGGTTTTGCAAAGTTGGATAAGGGGGTACAGGGGGGGGGGGGGGGGGGGGGGGGCAAGTGAATTTTGGGGGGGGGGGGGGAAGGATGGTGGAACTGAAACGATTAAAGGGATCAAAAGTGTAAAAAGAAAAAACCGGTCGTGAAATAACACGCAGGTGTAGACAAAAGTGTATGGGGGGGGGCTTAGAGTCGCAGAGGCCTACCGGGGGGGGGGGGGGTAGTATTATATCCCAACAAACCCCTACCACCCCCCCCCATCTCTAGACGGGGGGGGGGGGGGGGGTGTGGAGCAGGGGGTGCTACGTGCAGGTATGCAGATATGCACGGGGGGATCCGGGGGTCAAAACCTGTTTAATCCAAATCGGCGGGGCGGCACCCACTCCCATCTGTGCGCGGTAGGCCAAGAGCATCAAACGATCATCAAGAACCTTACTGTATTGATGAAAAAGGGGGGGGGGGGGGGGGGGGGGTAAAGATAAACAAGGGGGGAGAAGAGAAGATACCTTTTAAACAGAAAAGAAAAAAAGAAAAAAAAAATAAAAAAAAAAAAAAAATAAATAAATTTTAAAATTAAAAAAATAAAAAAAAAATCAAAAATGGGTGTGTGCAGGAATCTTTCAAGGTGGGGGGGGGGGGGAAGGAAGAGAGGTGGAGAGCGGGGGAGCAGGTGGAGAGGGGGGGGGGGGGGGGGGGGGGGGGGGGGGGGGGGGGGGGGGGGGGGGGGGGGGGGGGGGGGGGGGGGGGGGGGGGGGGGGGGGGGGGGGGGGGGGGGGGTGGGGGGGGGGGGGGGGGGGGGGGGGGGGGGGGGGGGGGGGGGGGGGGGGGGGGGGGGGGGGGGGGGGGGGGGGGGGGGGGGGGGGGTGGGGGGGGGGGGGGGGGGGGTGGGGGGGGGGGGGGGGGGGGGGGGGGGGGGGGGGGGGGGGGGAGGGGGGGGTGGGGGGGGGGGGGGGGGGGGAGGGGGGGGGGGGGGGGGGGGGGGGGGGGGGGGGGGGGTGGGGGGGGGGGGTGGGGGGGAGGGGGGGTGGGAGGGGGTGGGAGGGGGGGGGGGGGGGGGGGGGGGGGGGGGGGGGGGGGGGGGGGGGGGGGGGGGGGGGGGGGGGGGGGGGGGGGGGGGGGGGGGGGGGGGGGGGGGGGGGGGGGGGGGGGGGGGGGGGGGGGGGGGGGGGGGGGGGGGGGGGGGGGGGGGGGGGGGGGGGGGGGGGGGGGGGGGGGGGGGGGGGGGGGGGGGGGGGGGGGGGGGGGGGGGGGGGGGGGGGGGGGGTGAGGAAAGAGGGGGAGAACAAAAGGTCATGGGATGTGCACTCCCCCAAACACCTAGAGGAAGAAGTGGAACGATTAAAGTGTCTTAAAACAACCAAAGAGCCCATCTTGGCTTAGGTTCAAAAAATAAAGAAGAAAAACACCCCCCTAACCACCCGCAATAAAGGGCAGGAGAGCTCGGCAGGAAAAGCGAGTCAAGAAGGTAGGGAGGAGCGGAATTTAGGCGATGGGGCAATAAAGGATCATATATTTTATGCATAAATATAAAGGAGCGCCAACGAGCGCGGAGAAAACACCCTCATTAAAACCATTAACCCCAAGAACTCACAAACCTCACCCAGCCCCCGTCCTCCCCCCAACCACCCCCAGATCCACCCACAAAACCAACCCTGGATATCAGGAGGTGGCTGCATAATGAGGGAGGGGGGGGGGGGGGGGGGGGGGGGGGGGGGGGGGTTTGGGGGGTGGGGGGGGGGGGTGTGGGGCGGGGGTGGGCAGGGATTGGGGGTTGGGGGGGGGGGGGTGGGGGTTGGGGGGGGGGGGGGGGGGGGGGGGGGGGGGGTGTGGGGTTTGGGGGGGGGGGGGGGGGGGGTTTGGGGGGTTGGGGGTTGGGGGGGGGCGGGTTAGGGAGGGGGGGGGGGGGGGGGGGGCGGGTTTGTTGGGGGGTGTTTGGGGGGGGGGGGGTCACCGCCCCTCTAATCAAAACCTTAACCCCAAGTCTATGTAATGAAGTGGCTCAGAAAAAAGGTTGCAAAACAGAAAAAAAGGGCCCCCCCACACAACCAAAACACTTCCATAACAACACAAGGGGGGGGGGGCGGGCGGGGGGGGGGAATCACACACCAACAACCACAACGGCACAAACCGCCGGGGGGCTGGGGGGCATCAACCCACCCCGTCTCACCGGGGGGGGGGCCACAACAGGGGGGGGGGGGGGAAGGACACAGGCCACCCTACCGGGGGGTCCAATGGTGGATCTCAGAGCGCAAAAAAGAATAAAACGGGACAGCCAGAGCAGGGGTGGGGGCCAGCGTTTGAACCGAAGAGGAGAGGCCAGGCTCTCGTGAGTCCACAGGTGAGCGCCTTCGACTTTCGCGGTTCACCTCGGAGACAGGCTAGTGCACGGCTACGAACTCAGACCACCCCCTCCTACTCCCCCTTTTCCTAACCGCCAACTCCGACCCCACTCTCACCACGTGTGCCCACCTGTGGGCTCCTCCACTGTGTCCCCCAACACCCCTCCCCGCCCCAGGGGGGGCGTGTGTACGTCCCCCCCATTTCCCCCCTGCCCCCCCTCCTCGCACAACGCCGGTCCTCGGTGTGTGCAACACGCTACGTTGCCTCGCTTCACAAACCACGCATTCTCCTTCACCGATACCACCCCCGGGGGGCGGCCCTTGGGGGGGGGGGGGGGGGGCCCCGCCTCAACGCACCCCCCCAACGGACTGCCACAACGCCTCTCCAATTGCCCACCCAGTCGCATTCTTGGGGGGGGGGGGGGGGGGGGGGGGGCAACTCACCCGTCAACAACTCCGCAGCGCAAACAAACAAAACACGCAATAGCGCGAGCTGTCGCCCGCTGTAGTCGCGCACCCCAGTCCCCAAAAACAACGCGGGCAGAGCTTATGGGCTAAAGCACCGCGCATAGGAGCGCAAGGATACGAGCAGATGCTGCACGTGGCCGGCGTCAAATCGCGTCAGGCGAGGAAGGTCGCTCCTGCGCGACCAAAAACCAACGCGTATGCGGGGGGTACGGGGCAAAACCAAGCAAACCTCCCACCGCGGGTGGGGGTGCGGGAATACCCGGGCAGGCACAAACAAAGAATCAATATCAGCCAACAGGGAATAAAAAAAAACCACAACAGCGCAACGCCACCGGCCCGCGGGGCAGCAAAAGGGGGAGCGCACGCAGGGGGGGGGGGGGAAAAAAGGGGGGGGGGGGGGAAGCTCAACAGCCCCGGACAGAAGAGAAACAAAAACCAGAGAAAAAAAGACAAAATAAACCCAAAACCAAGAATCGTGCAACATCAGGGGAACAAAAAGCACGAGAGCAAAAAGAACTAACGCCGGCAAACCCATCACCAGACAAAGGCGCAACAAACCCCTGGCAACACTAAACATAGACAGACCCACCAAACAAACACGGACACCAAGCAAGCAAAAGCAGAAAAGGGGGTCCCGTGCAAAACCTAGACAGGCAGCAGTCAATAACAACAAGCAAAAGGCAGTACCACAAAACAAGAAAACGGGGGGGGGGGGGGGGGGGGGGAAGGGGTCTCCATGCAGAAACAACCAAAACAGAACAAACACCCCCCGCCGCCCGAGCCCAACACAGCGAACCACGTCCAGGGGACGCCCCCCACGTGTGTGTCGGGGGGGGGGGGGGCGACCGGGCGAAGCACGGGCCCCCAGGGGCGTGCGCCAACAAGAACGAAGCATGCAAGCAGTAACAGCGGGGGGCGAAAACTATTGCAAACAAGAGAACATAAGGGGGGGCGCGGGGGAATAAAGCACGCACATATAACAACACATAGGCATCGATCGGCAACAAAAACGTCCGCATACTCATCCACGCAAAAAAAAAAAACGCGGCAACGGGCACAAAGGTCACAGGCACAGAATTACAAAAACAAACATCCGTGTCGCCAAAGGCAGCAGCCCGTCGTGTCAGGGGGGGCGGGAACAAGGCGGGGGGGGAGCACCCCATCCGGCAACGCGCAGGGGCGGGCGTGGGGCAAAGGGGGGAACAAAAAACGCCCGTGGCGAACATCAGCGTGGGGCTGCAACAAAAGCCAGGCGGGGGGGGGACCCACAAACACCCAATCCGGGAGCGGGGGGGGGGCGCCAGTCAGCGGTGGGGGGGGGGCGGGGGGGGGAAGGGCAGCAAGCACAACAACCAAGCACAGACCCCCGTGGTGCAAAATAGGTGGGGGGGGTGGGGCAGCTGCACAAAATGGCCACAAGAGTACAAGCTCCCTCCCAAATCCCCTGCTGGTGTGGTGCGGGCGCAGAGCACGGGGTGTGGTGGGTGGGGGGGGGTTTCAAGTTGTGGGTTTGAATGCAATTACCTAGATACAAACCCTATGTTCATGTATAGTTTTTGGACACGAGCGCTTAAGTCAATTGAAACCAATAATGAAGAACAATTAACAAAAGTTTGCATTGTTGACTAGATGGATGATGATGGATGGGAGTAATGAACCCGCCTCCCAGGGCCGGAATGGCGTGGCCTACCCGAACCGCCGCGGGCGTCCGGGGGGCGGGCCCTACCGGGGTGCTGCCAACCCCCAGACACCCGATGCTCTAACCGACACCACATCCCACCCACCCGCCCCACCACCCCCTCCCTCACCACCCAACCTCCCCTTCCAGAACGCCAGGGGGGCGCGGGGGGGCGTCGGGCTCCACACACAATCCCAACCCAAAGCCACTCCAATCCAATCTCCACACCAACAGTACACAAATGCATCAGCAACGCCCCAACCCGACACCGAACCACCTGCGGATGAACGGCAAATCCAGAGGATTCAGTACAACATCGGTAACATCCACCCTTCCGATTGGCCAACAAAATCAGAAGCTCTCTAAAGACTGATCCACCTATGGAACCGTTGCTGCTCGCCATAATCAAAGTGCGACCACGGTAGCCTCACCCAGTACGGCCACAAAACGGATAAAGCACCAGGTTCAAACTGCAGAGACGTCACTAAATCCCTCGATAATCGTGCTTCTTACATCACTGAAGACCAGCCAGAACTACGCAGCCTTGACACTTATATGCAACAACGTTTTTGAGTCCAATGCAAATTCCTTAAGGGGTAGATGGCTGGAAGTATTAAAGCAATAGAATTTCCTTTGTGATAAAAGCAGAGTTCAAGCCGATCCGACTAATCTTAAGCACATCACTAGACATCCAACCTCGAATCATTATTAGGAGTTCCGGCTAATGCGAGTAACATTGGGGTCAATAGATCATTTAGAGACGGTGCTTTTGTTTGCATACCGCCTGCGGACTGAATACAGTGGGACACGCATATCCCCGGATCTTCCATGGAGCGAACGCCAGCGGGACAAAAATAATTCAAATTCATGGCGTGCCCGAGCTACAGACAACTAGCAACGACGAAGCCCACGTTAATGACCTGGAAGAATGTCGTTACATCCGTGAATCTCTCTGTGTGTGTTGCGTCATACTTCAATCATTTACCCGGTTGTCCGTGTCGCCAAACTACAGAGGGAATGGCCTTCTGTAACTAAACTGAAACTGACGATGCTGAAACTAACGATGCAATCACAACAGATGGCCGTGAACTTAATCTGTAGCTGGCATTTACTACACAACACAGTTACTTCGGAACTACGACTGATGACAGCAGTTAGGGAGCCACAGCCCCTCGCTGTTCGTGCGGAAACGACACCACCCGCAACTCAACATAATCACAATAGCGATTCCGATACCTGTGTGCTAAGACCCGTAGCTATCGAAAAGGCTGTCCATGGATTACATACAGCAGGTGCAAGTGAGACTAAAAACAGACTAGATTCCTGTCGAGATTTGGCCATTCACTAAAAAACGATTAGCTGCCGGTCTCTCATCGGTCGGCACAAATCCACATCATTCATATGCTCCTAGTCAATAGGTTTTGACAAGCGGGAAGCTTTCTTTTATGTACACCAACGCTCAAGACTTGCTGAACAAACATTCCGAAACGCGGCTGCCTCCAGGATCAAAAGCTTACGTCCTCATTGCTATAACGCGGACCTGGTTACGCCCTGACCTAAGTGATATGGAGATTGCACTGCCGGGTTTGTCAATTGTTCAGCGCCATCGACCCAGCAAAGGTGGAGAAGTGATTCTGTATTTCTGCAACGACCTCCAGTGTGAGCTCATAGAGGATCCGGTCAGCAGGGTACCAGCTTCCCTTTGGTGCCAGCTACGTGTAAAAGACGAGGACACTTGCTCAGTACCGGTCATTTCCGGTCCTCCTTCCTCCACGCCCGAGATGGACACCCATCTGGCATCTGCAAGAAGGAGGGTGATAAATACAACTGACAGCCACATTTTCAATACTGGCGATTTCTACATCCATGTTATGGAGTCCCAAGCATTTCCTGGAGAACAGTTTAAGGCGGATCTACAAGAGTTTGTCTCCGGTTACCCGCTGTAAGGCCACATCAACACTCCCACCTGATTACGAAATAAAGATAAGCCTACGATACTGTATCAGAGATTCGCCAACGAAGAACTAATGGTCGAGAGGGCGATCGTCGATGTCCCATTGGAACTGCAGCGATCATGCAGGACTACTCTTCGAATAAATTTGCTATGCAGAATATCCCGTGGAAATTGCCAACGCAAAAAGAACGTATGTATGCCACGACATATTAGCTTGACTAAGTGAGGCAGCCAACTGGAACTTTCTGGCAGAGGAGGCACCAGTGAGTGCATGGGAAGATTTCGTCAGCCAGTTTAACACTCTGGTTGCCGAAGCCTCAGCGACTAAGACCTTCTGCACAAGAAACGTGGTCTCGTTTCTGTGAAGCACGACACGCAAGTGTATAGCGGTGCGTAACTCAGCCTTGTATATCTACAAACTATCCCCGAGCACCGAGAACTGGATGGCATGTGCGACCCAAGGTAACAACTGTACTCAGCTTGTTCGTGTGGATAGAATCGTGTACCAGCAGAAGGTAGCGGTGCGTATGGCCTCAAACCACGGGCTTCTGTATCAACACGTCAACAGTGTACTTAAAAGAAAACGTGGAATTCCTCCTCTTCAAACAGAGAACGGACGCACACGGACACCGGAGGAGGCGGCGAATACCCTACGCCTATAATATGCTGCAACCTTTTGTTGTGATCACTGGCCACATAACCCTATGACAATGATTGTTTCACCCACAAAATTCACTCACATATCCTTCACAGCAGAAGCTGTACTAAAAAGGCTGTTGAGTATGTGTAAGCACAGCTCTCCTGGAGTTGATAATATACACACGAAATCGGATAGCGGCAGTAGGAGAGAGTTTAGCTGAGCATTTGGCCGATTCTTCCAACGCTGTACGTGCCCGAAATGCGGAAACACGGATGATTACTCCTCTAAACTACCAATAACAACGAAACGGATCACTTTACCCCAGAACAAGAACGTATGGTATATGACTGCCCGACTCCTTAAGCCTTACCACCTGTTGTTAGCTCACATACCAACCGCTGCTGAAAGCAACCCTATCTAGACCGAAGGAGAAGACGGGAGCACATGAAAGCCGGAATGTTGTATACGGGATACAGTGTAAAAATTGTGATAAACACCATGTGGGCCATACAGGGGGAAACTTATCTACAAGTTTGCAAGAACACAAGTGAGCCTGTCGAAACTACTATCCATCATCAATGGTCTGGACACAAGTTGACGAAGAAGGGCACATATTTGTTTGGGAGAAGACGGAGGTCCTAGCGCAGGGAGAGTCAAGAAGAGTAACAGAATTTCTCGAAGCGTGGTTTCCTAAAGACAACTCGATAGACCTGCGCATTGACTTAGACCCGATGTACCATCTGCTGCGAAAAAGTACTTCAGACGGGTCATTCACCGCACGAGGTTAACAGAGGCGGCGATAGAACTGTAAGCTAGCAGTGGTCACGGGGCATGAATGGAAGTGGCCAAGTTCAAACGTGACTCTCATCGGCCAAGTTTTGCTTAGTGCGCACTGACGAGGTCACCTCGATTGATGAAGAAACGTCTGCAATTAAATAGTTCGACTCGGAGAACTACTCTAAACTTGAAAGGAGGTAGTCGTTCCAATCCAGCCAACCATCGTCCCATAATCTTACTACCGCTTCTTTCAAAGCTTATGGAAGCTATTATTTCTGATGCTCTAACAGCTTACTTGGAACAATTTAACTACCTCGCATCGGAACAGCACGGCTTCCGCCGAAGTCGATTGTGTACTATAAATCTACTACTAGCACAATCTAGCTGGACTGAAGCAGTAGACTGGCACAGGAGTTGATGTAGTCTTTCTCGACTCTCTACTCTTCAAACTACATACATTTGCTATTGGTGCTGTTCTCCTAGGATGGATCAGAAGCCTTATTCTGCAACGGTGCCTGCAAGTACGTATGTGTGAATTGCCGTCAGATCCCATCCGAGTTGAATGCGGAGTACCACAAGAATCGGTACTAGGACCAAGATTATTTTTGACAAATCTTAATGATATCACACACATCATAATCCCAACTGCCTTTATTATGCCAATGACATCAAGGTGTGGAGAGTGCTGAATACACCAGATGATATCACACTACTTCAAGTTGGTCTAGATAGGGTACACCCCTGGGTCAATCCAGGATCTAATTCCATTCAATATGGACGAATGTGGAGTGCTGCACCTACGGTACAAATTGGTGCATTCCTACAAACTCGACAACCAGGAGCTTCAAAACGTCTTCTGAAGAGAAGGATTTGGTATTTTTGGTCCAGACCATCCTTGGATGTTTGAATTAGACTGAAACAGCGTCAAAGAGGGGCATCCAACACGTGGGCCTGCTGAAGCGTGCATTCGGACGATTCGGCCCTTCGATTTTTCCACAACTTCTCGGCTCATACATACAGCCACGTGTGGAATACGCAATACATGTTTGGTAACCATGGCTGAGGAGACATCTCACCGCCTTGGAGATACTGCAACGCCGGTCAACCAAAAACGTCAAGCATATGTATAATTTCCCGTATGAACAAAGGCTTCAAGTGCTCGGGGGCTTCAGCGGACAATATCGGCAATTGCGCGGGAATCGCATTTGGCTGACCAGATTTTGAGAGAACACAACCACACGGTTCGCAACTTGCTAGAGCTCAGTCCCAACAGAAATTTGAGAGACCACCATCTCAAACTGGTGGAATAACACGGTCGCTTGGAATGCCATCGGAACTGCTTTTCCGTACGCGTTTGTCGTACGTGGAATGCCCTACCGGAGTTGTTATATGTGCTTCTCGCTGGCAGAGTTCAAATTCAGGGTTGACCGTGCACTCATTTCACTGCCTCATTTTACATGACCTATTACCCATGGATAA